CATAAAGTCCAGCACCATTTGTCAAAAAAAGACTATTCTTTCTCTACTGAATTGCCTTTGCAACTTTTTGAAAATCAGTTATTCCTATATGTGTGGGTCTATTTATAGAATCTCTAATCTGTTCCTTTGATCTATTGTGTCTGACTATCTGTTTTAATAAATTATTTCCCTAATTGCTTTTAAGTTGCTTGCATAAATATGGCATCACCATTTTACTAGACATAGTAGGAATATCTGAAATGCATTTTATAATCAGTGGGAGCTTGATCTCTAGTGTATGGCCATGGTGCATGAATAGCCATACCAAAAATATGCACTTTGATCACTACTTCTTACCATATAAGGATGAACTCAAAATAGATCAAATACAAAAATATAAAACATACATCTATAAAATTTTGATGTAAAAACATGGGACAGAATCTTTGTGATATTGTGTCAGGCAAAGATTTCCTAGAAACATCAGAACCAAAATCCATAAAAGAAAAACAAAGGTAACTTAGATTTCATCAAAATTAAAAACTACTGTCCTATGAAAGATAGTATTAAAAGAATAAAATGACGAAGCACAGATTGGGAGAAAATATTATCAAATCATATATCTGAAAAAGAACTTTTATCTATACCATATAAAGAACTCTCAAAACTCAAACTCTCAAAATAAATTAAAAAAAAATTTAAATTAAAAACATAAGCAAAAATATTTGAAAAGAGATTTTACCAAGGAAGACACATAGATGGCAAATAAGCACATGAAAAGTTGGTCATCATAATAAACCATTAACTAATTGAAAATGAAGACCACAGGAGAAACCACAACATACCTATTGAAGAGCTAAAATTAAAAATTCTGACTACACCAAGTATTGGTGAGGAAGTGTAGGAACTGGAATTCTTCTACAGTGCTAGTGGTATGATCATGTCGGAGAACAGCTTGGCAGTTTATTTAAAAGTCAAACATATGTCTACCATATGTTCTAGCCTTTCTATTCTTTTGCATGTTCATACAAACTCTTATATTTGAATGTGCATAGCTGTTCTGTTTTTAGTAGCCCAAAACTATAACTCAAACATCCATCAATGCAGAAATGGATTGACAAACTTTGGTAGACCCATACAATGAAATACTATCCAGCAACACAAAGGAATGGACTATTGATACAGACAAAAATATAAATTCCTTTCAAATAATTATGCGTAGTGAAAGAAGCCAGATAAAATAGTCCATACTGTATGAATCCATTTATATATGTTTCTAGAAAATGACAACACATCTATAGCGTCAGAAAGCAGATCAGCACTTACCTGAGGATGTGGAGGGGCAGGATGGGGAAAGTGCAAGAGAGGACATGCAAAGTGTGTGAGGAAACATTTGTGAGCTACTGATCTGTTATTTTCTTGATTGTGTTATTGGTTTCATGGGTATGTGCATATGTCAAAATTTATCAAATCATACATCTTATGTATAGTTTATTGTAAACCAATTCTATTTTAATAAAGTCTTAAAAATTAGGCATAGAAGTTTTCCCCAACAAAAATATACCAGTTGAGAACAGAAAGGTCAAATCCAGTATGGTGTCCATTAGTTGAATTTTCCTGTAGTTTATTCCCCTCAATATATATATATATACACACACACAGGTTCTTTTGGTAGGTGGGGCTGTTAATAAATGGAATAAAGCAGTATTCATTGACAACTCAGTCTTATCTTTTGACATTCCTCTAATAACATGTCACAAAAGAAAGGACAATAAAATTTATTCCATAACTACTCTAAACATCTTATGACTTCAGTGCATTGAGCACTTGGGGATTGTAACCCCACTGTAGCCCATCAGAGGCTCTGGTACATGTCTCTGGGAGTGGTGATACCCAGTGGCGATGGTGGCATATGATGATAAAGGTTTGCCTGTGCCTGCTGACCACTGCGGTGAGATGTCTTCTTATGGCTTCATGCACATGAAGGTTGCAATCATAGCTGGAACAGGAGAAGAAGAAAATTGGACTTTCCCTATGGAATTTGAGAGAATTTTGTTGGTACTGCTTTGGTAAACTTGGCTTTACACATAAATCATCATTTTTCACAGATAAATGTAGTTCTAATGATTGTAGAATATAAATGCTTAAATGAGCCCTAAATGATTGCCACCAAATTTCTTGGGCATATGAAGCTTCACTGGGTTGATTGAAGATGAATTATTAACCACTGGCAGAACACTACCAGGTATAATATACTCTCACATTTTTCTTTCTCAAGGGACATTCTCTTAATTTATTATGTTTAATTGATATTTCCAATTATTCCAAAAAGAGAGAAATGTAAAAGGGCCCTCATTCTCAAATAATTAGGAGATTAGGAAACCATACCGGTAATCCTAAACCTCATATTTGAAATGCTTCCAGATTTAAGCCTTTTGAAGTGTGATGTTTTCTCAACTGCTTTTAAAACAAATTATTGCTATTTAATGTTCTTTGAATCACAATTCTCCTACCGGGGATGAATATGCCAAAACAGATAAGAACATCTATTTTCAAAGGGCTTTCTACTTCAAGTTTAATAGTCTCCCAAAGTTTATATAACAAAGTCCCAAGCTGTTGCAAAGGTTTGACAAGCGTGTTTCTCAGCAGGCTTGGATTTATGTTAGGTAGCTCTTAGTGCAGATAAAGCAAATAAAATATACTGAATTCCTAAACATCCAGTGATGTAGGTTTTTATTAATATTAATATTCTCAGTGGTGGCAAATGCTCTTTCTTGTTGTCTATGTTAGTATTCCTCACTTCATTTTTTTCTTCTTTGGTAAATACCTGGCCACTTTTAAGACACATCAAGTTTGTTTTTAGCCCTTTGCACTCGCTTGCTTTTTTCTTGATTCCTTTATTCTACTTGGGATTTAATTTTTTAAATACCCCAGATTTTGCAAAGCGTGGCAGTAGAATAAAAAAGTGGAGTTTCTTTTCATACAAACTTATTTATTTGGATTTTTTTATATTTCAAATTATTGCTGCTACCGATGCTAACCATGTCGAGTGTCACACTCGACATCCAAGTGCAAAAGGTTAATCATAATAATTTGGATTATTATCTTCCTCTTTTTTTTTAAAAGAGAGAGCTTATGACCTGAGCGCGCACTCTGACAGCAGTTTAACCTGAGCTAGTTACCTCTTCCTCTGCCTGTTCTTCAGCTAACCGTTTCCTATACACTCAGGTGGGTTTTTTTTTCTTTTCTTTTTTTTTTTTTTTTGCAGACTGATTTGATCATCAGCCTGTGTCTATCTGGATTAAAGCCCACCACTGAGGCTTAGCTCTCTTTTTTATCCTTGTGGTTTGGAAAACAAATGCAAGTGCAAACAAAGTTCCTTCTAGGCACATGTTGGTGGCAGGACAGCAAAAGAGCCCACAGGTGTGGCTGATGTGGAACTGCAAGGAAGCAAAGCTTCCCATTACCAGCCTGTGAAAATATTCCCCCCTCGGTTATTACTCAGCATGCATACTATCTAGACACAATATTATCCTGCTTTTTTTTTTTTTTCATAACAGAGTGACTATATGCCCTCAGGGATAAACTGTAGTGTCAGCTGCTCAGAAATTTCAGGCACAGAATTGCCAGGAAACTATTTACTTCTAACAAAAAAGTGTTAACAGGATCTTGAGTATACATGGGTTTCGCAATGTTATGATTTTTACAGATAGAGCTCACAAAGGGTTCTACCAGTGTGTACTTTATCTTCCTTTGAGGAACAGAGGCTGAGTCAATCCTTTGAGTTTCAAAATCACAATAAATATATCAAATGACTTAATCTCTTACAGGACTATTGTCTACACAGACAATCAAATGTATAATTCTCAGCAGGAATGCACATTACACATTTTAAAATTTGTTTCTCTTTGCACTTCATTTTAAATCTATTTCTCTTTTATTCTCTAATCAGGCTTTACTCCATAGTTATTTAAGGTATAATGAATAAAATTCAAGTGGAAACCGGCTTTCAACAGAAAGTAAGATATATGTGCAAAGTGAGGCAGACTTACTGACAATGCTGAGCGTAGTTTCTAGATAGCACCTCACCCATGTTATCATTAATAGTGCGTAGAAATAGCATAAAGAATAATAGTAATAAAGTAGCAGTAACCATGCAGTATATTCACGCTGCGTGAGAACCATCTTCAAAATATTTGCCAGTGTATAGTTGCATATGATCTTCAACAATTGTATGTGGTAGGGCAGCTGGTTCTTTATTCCATTTCATAGATAAGGAAAATAAATTCCAGAGATACTAAGTGAGTCACATGCTAAGAAGTCGAAGCATCAAGTTCTCTACCTACTACTCTGGTCTCCTCCATATGAATTGGTGAAAAAAGATTATAAAGTAACAACAGCAATAAGGAAGAATCAAGAACAACATATCCCCAGTAAGAGGGATTTGGAGGTAAGCTATTATTGCCTGAGGATTATTAGAGAACAAACAAGAATTTAGGGGCCAGAAAATGTGTCAGTGGAGAGGGAGGGAAGTGTAGATAATTTCAAAAATTGAATCTGCAAGATACCATGCAATTTGACATTTGCCTAAACTAACCAAATCTGAATACGTAAAGTCTCATAAAGGCTTTAAACTGTCTTGAAAGAGTTTCAAAACATATTCCCTAAAGAAGTATGTATCCTCCAGTTCCTTACCTATATTTATAACCTTAGCTACAGAGTTTATGTCAACTATTTATTTGTCTGTTCCCTCTAAATATTGTTTTCCATCAGACAAAAACACTGCAATACATGCTAAGAGTTATGGAAGATTTGGGGCGATCCAGGCAAATCACTCAGTAAGCGCATAAATGAGTAATGACATAGTGTGAATGGTCGAGATAACGGATGTCTGTCAGTGAACATTAGGAATTACTTCAGCAAGGAGGGTGGGACTTTGCAGCCACAATTTTCCCCACCACCCCATCACTCACTCACAGGGGACATAAGTAACTTATTCTCAGAAGGCAGGTCAAATCACCTGGCGAAGGGCCTCCATGTACCTCTCTTTACCAGTGAGAATCAGGATTATCCGGGGAATGATTTAGAAGCCAAGCACTCTACTCAGTAAAGTTTAAACACCTTAGCAAATCTTTGAAGAGTTACCAATAAAAATACATAAAATACTTGGATGCAAGTGTCTAATTAGCCCAAGCCTATTGCACACATAATTGTCTTTAGTTTAATTTTATGCACTTCCTTGAGATACAGTTCGATATTACCAAATGAACAAGTCTTAAATATGCCAAAGTGAATCAAATGCTATAGAGGAGTCAA